CAAGATAGTGAGTGGTCAGAATAAGCGAAATATGTATGTAATAGTGAAAGTCAATATCAAGGTGTGGGAGAATACCATCAAAAGCTTTGACGACTTGACAGGAAACATACAGAGCCAAAGCCAAGCTGAAGGGAAGGGTGGTGAACTGACAAACCATTTCCTGATGGCAAAAATCAAAGAAAATTACATCACGATAGATGAATAAGTATATTAACCTTTACCATCCAATGGCCTCAACAAAGAAATTTACATAATATCATCATGTTTTCCAGTTTTAAATGAGTTGTATCCAAATAAAGATTGAGACAAGACAGGCCTCCAATCTCCCATTTTCATTGGAACTACAAAAAGACAGGAGTAAAACTTGGAAAAATGTGATAAATGATTTCTACTGTTCCTTCATGAAGATCCAAAAGTTCCTGATTCAGAAGTTGTAAGGAAACAGGATCGGAAGGAAGATAAAAAAAAAAAACAGAAGGAGAAAGACTCAATTAAAAGTAAAGACCTAATACCTGATATTGACACACACACACACGTAAAGAAAGGAAAGACAATAAAAAAAACAACTGATTAGTTTCCTTTTCTTAAAATTCTAGATAAACTAAACTATGTCACCATACATTCTATAGTTGTAAAAGTTAAATTGTCCATTATTGTTAATAATGATAATTGTGTCAACTCTTTCTTCCTTTACATAATATGTGTCTCCTGTGATAAAATTCTGTCTAAATAGACAAAAGCACCGGTGTTGACATGACTTTTCAATTATGGCTTTTTTCGTTTATGTATCAATAAAGTTGCATAACATTAGGTTTTATTATTGTTAAAGATTTAGATTAATATACAAGTATTTTTATAATTTGGAACCAAATTATAAAACACTTCTCACCTGAAATCACTAATAGAAACATTTTTGTCATTTGGAATTGAGTTTTGGTGAGATGTACTCAAAGAGCTGGGCCTTGAAAACAACACTAGATTTTCTTCAGAAGAGTTGACATTTTCCACAGTCTGCGTAACTTTAAGTAAATGGTTTAAAAAGAAATTTTTAAATCAAAAGTACAAAAAATATTAAACCTGTAAAGTTCTTCTATCCTCATCCATAGGTAATATGATTCAAGTGTGTATGTATGAGCTCATTTTATCCATATTCTTTAACAAAAATAAAGCACCATCAAAACACTTTTATAAAAATGCTCAAATATTTTGATCTCTTCAAAGTTCAGTCAATCAGTTATACGCTAGTTTTGCTTTACTTAACATAAAACAATCACAAATCTGTTCTAAAAAATTTAGATCCTATCCATATTTAAGCATATCAAAATATTTCAAAGTATAGGAAAAATAGCATTATAATGATGCAAAATTGTTTATAGATATTTTTGTCACAGGATTAGAAATATTTTCTTTAATGTAACCTTTAACTTGTGATATTAACATGTTTAAATAAAAAGAATAGTTAAAGCTCTTGAGAAAAGTTTAAATTTCATTCAAAATTTTGACCACAGAAAACAAGAATACTTATTACTCTTTCCAACTAAGCATAACGATGTAATATTAGACAGAAAAAAAAAAAGATAGAAAGAATGAAGTAACATTAATCTTGTACTTGAAAATTTAAAAAGGTATTATACATGGCAGAATATTAAAATAATTTTTTCTTTATTATTGACCTGTTCTTGTTTATTTAACATTCTAAAAAGGCTTAACAATATTAATATCATTTTGCTTAATGTTAACTTTGGTATGGCAATCAATCCTTTAACATCAAAAACAAATAGTTAAACTACATAAAATTAATATTAACAATATTAATACCTTTTTCCTTAATGTTAACTTTGGTATGGCAATCAATCCTTTAACATCAAAAACAAATAATTTAAACTACATACAATTTCCCATTTATAGTCTGAGCTATGTTTCTCATAAAAATGTATTGTTTAACAAAAACAAAAGATATTCTTTATTTGCATAGACCTGGTACCTTTAAAACACCTGAATAGACCTGTCCCATCTTTTAGATTTGTACAAATTTGACATTTTCCCAAATCTGGTATATTTCAATATCTTTCTACTTCTTTTAAGTAATTCAAGAACTGATATTCCCAACAGAGATCAGATTAAGTTTCTTGTTTTTGGTGTAAAGGAACACCAAGGCAGTTAAATCCAAATTACCTTACAAAACATGTATATAATGGACTGTATTTGGTATTTAGCACATCACAACTAAGACTCTCTAAGCTTAATGGTACTAAACAATTGATATATTCTTAGTTGTGGAGATTAGACAACATAAACAGTGACTGTTTTAATAAATGAGCTACCAGAAATCACAAAAATGTAACATCAAGTCAAACCACAAAGAAAAGGCAACAATATGTACCTTTGTAATCTACTTTAAATTTTAAATAATTTTAAATTTTACTAATATGCTGTGAGGAATGTTCATTTTTTACTTGAAATTTATTTGAAGTGTTTTTTTTTGCTTATAACACTTTTCACTACAATATACAACACCAATTGACCAAAAAAGATAAAACTAGCAAGAAAGCTGGACAGACACAAATCACTCTTTTCCACTATCAGAGCATTTATAAGCAAAACTTAAAGTTAGAATTAAAATTATTTTGCTCAACTCAAATCATATATGAATCCTCCTAGTTTTATTATATTAAAAACAACTTTATACTTAAGATTCTGTTCTAGTGTTACTAATTAACTCCTTCAGTACAGGCCTAGGACCAACCTCATAACTATTTTGCGCTTGTTATAGTTTTCATGCTATAACTTTTAAATCAGTAAGTGTATGTTAACAAAAATTGGCAGATTATCAATAAAAATTACAATACTTTCATACCCAAGATATCAATTTTTTTTATATTAAGTCTTAAGGTTTGTTAAGCAATGTTTTTCTCATGCCTTTTTTTCTTTTTCGCATGTTGCCTATCCAACATGTAAAGTAATTTTCATTTTAAGATTAAAAATAATTTATGCATCAGAAAATTTTCAAATTTCACATACATAATATTAAATGTACAGATAGTCATCAAACATTTCTTAAGAAAAAAACTTTATATTTTATCTGTTATTTTCACTAACGAATCTCTGTACGGGTTCAGTAGATTTGACTGATCTCATAACCACTATAAAAAATTAGGAAATAAATATAAATTATGCCTCTTGTTCTAGAATGTCAACAAATTATAAAACTAAAACATAAATGTTCAGACTAAACAGCTTAGATCTCATAACATTATATATTTATTATTTCCATTATATTGGCCTTTCAGCCATGCCTGGCCAACAATACCGAAGTTACAATGATGTGGCACACGTGCACTCATGTTACCATATCCAGTAATATAAAACTGACCTTTAGTCTTTACAAAGTGACCTATCTTGGGTGTTTTAGTAGACTAGTATTTTGTAAAATACAGCCACATTTCAATTATTATATATTATATATCTATATAGATTATTGCTATATAGAAACAAGTTCTTAAACTTATTTTTCTTAGAACATAGAGCAGTAAATAAAGAAGTACAGCAAACAATTATCTCTTCTAGTTACTACCTTTGTACTCGGTTGCTGCTTGACATAAGTTGCTAAAGCTTTTAAAATTTTGCACATGGAGGATATGAAACAAAATAATTCTTTTTAGGTTTTTTATTACAGTTGAATAACCACAAAATCACAAATTACTATATTGTCACCATATAATTCCACTATAATTTATCAAGCTTAGCAACTAAGCTGTATTTTGGTCTAAAAAATATATGAAATTTTGAGCAGACTAAAGAAACATCCTACCTCCTTGAAATCTTGGTTCGAAAGAATGAGAAAGCATCCTAACACTTTAAAATGAGAAAGCCACTAGGGGGACATTCTGAACTTTTGATTGGTTATTCACATGTCATATACTGAAGTAAGTGTATATAAGGGACCATTTCCAAAAATGGAAAGAGATGAGCGGGGCCACTGTGTTTGATTCAGTACATGAGCGATATCTCGGCAAATAGAAAAGATGGGAGGTTCTTATTTTATATTCTAGCTTGATTTCTATATTTGTACAAAACTATAGACTTAGTATTTTGACATCACAAACATCTAATTTGAACCAGTGCCGCATTCAACATACCAAACGAGACAAAAAAATCTATGTCTAACTGTGTTTTTTTAATATGTACTTTTAAATTAAGAAATTGAATAATGTATAATAGTAAAATTTGAATTGTAATCTACAGTTTGATGCTAAATTTACTGACATAAATTTATGAAATAGTAGTTCAATAACATTTTGAACGCGTCAACAAAAACGATGACATGACCTTTGACCCATGACCCATCTGGAAAGGGTGAAGAAATGAGTTTTAGTGGTATAGTGAATTTTTGAAAACATTAAACGGTTTCTTTCATCACAAACTAAAGACCTTCAGTGCAAAAAATCTAACAGTGCTGGTAGGGGAGGAAAAACGTTATGGAAGCTCAAACTCCAACAATGTAAGTTAATTATTTGAGCAAAAAGAAAAACTTTGATTTTTACCTTTAATGTGTTGAAACTACTACCCTTCTATATAATAATATATAATTGTATAACTAGAACAGAGGTACATTTCACATAAACCACAAAAAAACTAAAACCTTCAAATGAGGTTTAAAAGAAAATTTCAACACATTAACTTCATGGTGCCAGGTCAACATGGTGAAAAGTTTTACAGTTATATTAGTTTCATTTTCTTAAATATCTGATTGTGAGTTGGTCCTCTCAGGCAAGGTCAAAATTTAATTTTGATCAGTAGAAGTCTGAAAAGAGTATATTGTTAAAATACTTATGATGTGAGAAAAAAACATGAAACAACAAAATAAACTTAATTTACCTTCTTTTTCATTTTGATAACCAAACATCTCTTTCACTAAAGTAGTTTCTTCTGTTAAGTTATCATTTTTCTTGGAATTGTTTTCATTCTGATCTAACAGACTGATAGTTTACACTTTTATGACCAATTTTCTCTGAAGATTTACTTCCAGTGGATCTTAAATTATCAAAATTAATAAGATCCATTTGTGAAGAAGGAGGTGAAAATTTCAAAGGAGTCCCTTCAATCGAGCATATATTCGCTGAGTAATCATTAATTGATGGGTGTTTGTGTTTGTTTTTATTCCCTTTAACCTCTGGTGAATGAAGAGAAATCTCTTGATACTCATCCATTTCCTGCAGATTTTCCTTATACTTCAGTCTGAAATCTGTTGGTTGTTCTGGTCTCTCTAGATTCATCTCAGGTAAGTCTTTACAGTTAATTTTCTGATTAATACTGTCCTTATCTTTTTCATTCATTGGCTTTACTTGTGAGGAATAATGCAATAACTCTGTATCTGATGAATCATTTATACTTTTTCTAGATTCAAAAATACACGTTTCTGTGTAACAGCTATCTAGTTCTTGGCTCTTGTGCTGGGTTGCATTTCTATCATGATTAACATGTCCATGTGCCAAAAAGAGGTTACTATTCTCATCAGAATATTTACGTCTATAATCAGTCACCTGGTCATAAGAATTTTCCTCTTCAATATTTACAGATTCAAGTTTTTTAACCAAGTTTGTATACTTAGGTACATATCTGCAGGATAAGATAGTGCCATGTTCACTCTCTATAGCCTGAGAAGATCCTTCAGAGCAAACATGTTCTTCGTCATAATGATGTACAGAGGGTCCACTCAAATCCTGAATTTCACTTTCCACTAGAGAAACTGGAATCTCTAACCTAGCTCTTGAAGTGTAAAGAGTGTCTGATTTTGGACAATGTATTTTTCCACCGTGCTTTAAAGGATAAGTTATTCTGATGTTATCTGTTCTTGCATGAGCCTTTTCCAAACAGTGCATACTAGTATTCTTTGCTTTTAACATTGGATAAAATTTTTCCTTTTGAAAGATGAAACATCATTTGCAGAACCTGGTCTTTGGATGGGCTCTGACTGAGAACTGTCATGACTGTCTGAATGAGGAACAGGATTAACTGGAACACTGCGGTACATTTCTTCTGGAAGAGGAATCAATTGCTGAGGTCTATCTGAATTTTTTATATTTGTATCACAGAAAAATTTGCCATCAAGTTGAGTATGGTATGTTGGGCTTGCTTTGGGACTATCCAGGTTGTCATATGTTTCTGATAAACTTTGGTCTATTTCAGCTTCCAATGCTCTCATCTTTCGAACATGTAATGATGGCATCTTTTCCGTTCCAGACCTAAACTGACTACTTTCCAAAGAAGCTGAGATAGACAATGGAACTCCTAAAGGCTTCGAAGAAAGAAGGTTTTTAAGAGCTGCAGAACTACCCATTGATATCATCTTATGTTTAGAATGAATCAGGTTGCGAAGCATCCCTACAGCTCCCATTTCCCAAAGTGTTCTCTGATCTTCAGCACAACGAGCTGACAGGTTCCACAAAGTGCCACATGCATTGCTTACAACTGTCAGGCTAGGAGACTTCAGATGCTGTAGAAGAATCTGTAAACAGAAATGGTTTCTTAAGATAATGCGATAGTCTTCTCTAACAGCAATATGACTAGAAATATTTCGAAGAATTCCACCACCATTCTCTACGATTGCCAATGTTTTGGAAGGGCTCTTGTAAGTGAGGGTACTGACTAAAAATGCTAATGCACCATCTATGGCACAAATTTCTGCCTTATTACTGCTACAGTGAGCTGAGAGATTCCAGAGTGCAGACAAAATACTTTTCAATGTAGATTCTTTTTTGGCTTCAATAGCAGCTTTCATCAGAGTAGTGACACTCCCAGCCTCTCGCAAGGTTTGTTTACTAATGGAATCAGCTCGCCACGAGAGGTTACGTAAGACACTAGCTGTTACCTGGTGAAAAGAAACCATCAATTCTTAGGTTCGATACACATAAAGAATAAAATATACCACTTTTTTATATCTTAGTTTAGCAATAAAAATGTTATTTTGGAAATCTTACATACATATATATCAGAGAAATGTAATTTTTATTATTATTATAAAGAAAGCAGGTGCTAATTAGGCACTTTTGTTTATAATTATATGACCTTAGGATAAAACCTATTGAAATTTCATGACTCAAACATAAAATTGTCTGTGGAAGCTGATAGAAGACTGACAGTTTTACTTTTAACTTTATGGACACTCCAACAAATAGACAAATAGAAAAGTTAAAACACTAATAAAATACTCAAATACCAAAAAAAAGGTTTTTGTTCAATAACCAAATAATTTTTTAAGCATTTAGATATCCATTAAGCATTAAAACAGAATGAGGAGTTAACAAACAACTATTCGATGAACAAGAAAGTCTGAATACATGCATTTAAAGATTCCTTAAGTTTCTTGTTTTTACATTCATAAATGAATATTAAGAATTCACATAAACTTTATTTTTATATGCAATAAGTAATGATTTCAACAGAATGCAAAGACCTTTTTTTCAGGTTTTTAAATTGAATTGGAAAACTGCTCAGCATGGAGTCCAATGTCCACATCAGAAATCAAGGAAAGAATATGAATTAAATATTAGAAAGAACTAGGATTATAAATTCACACAAGTTTTTCTCTGTTGTACATAGTAAAACTTTTGTTTATTTTATTCACAACATTTCACGATATTTACCTTGTATCATCAGGTTGCATACAAGAACTGAGACTAATAGAATTTAATTTAAAAAAAGAATCATGTGAGAATCTATAACAATAGTAATCTACAAGAATATGACTGACCAGTTGTAAACAATAAAATAATTTATCAATGAACTGTCAGATTTAAGCATAATGAATAAAACTTTAAAATAAAAATAAATAAAATGTATAAAATCAGATTGAGTACCTGTCGAAGATCTTCACATGGTGAATGTATCTGGGCTACTAATGCATAAATAAAAGCTTTCTTTGAACACAAAAGAGCTTTATTAGTGCCATCTCCAAAGGTGAGATTTGTCAATGCCATGCCAGCATAACGTCTCAATGTTACACAGTACGAGTCACTAGTGTTACCATGGGCTTTATGATCAATCTGAATTAGTTCTGCTATAGCATGAAGACCACCTGATAAAAAGAAAATAATTGTTATTAGAAAACTACAGTAATATTTTCTTTAAATTCATATGATTTTATTATTTCAACTTAGCATAGAGTACCATATGTTTCAGATATAATATACTAGAGTACCATACGTTTCAGATTTCATATACTAGAGTACCACATGTTATATGCTTAGAGTACTAGTGCAAATTGATTACTCTACCTTCAGTGATATCGCATGGTAAGTACTTAAAATTCTATTTGGAATGATATAAAAATCTATTTATACTGATTGACTCACTTTGAGATGTTTTTAGACCCTCTTACAATAACAAAATTAGTCTTTTTCTAAAATGAATGCATTCTATTTGAATAATATTTTGTATAGATATTTGTGTTTTCAGATTACTTTATTCAAGATTGATAATTTAAAATTAATATATTTTCTGTAATCTACATGTACTTGCATTTGTCAGTAATAACACTTAAAAGGGCTAGTATGATTTAATAATAGGTAAGTGAAAAAGGAATAAAATTTTGAAATAGTGAATAATGATTGTAAAGTACAAATAGCATCTGTCCAACAATCTTCTAAATAAAAATCTTCATAACTAAAAAAAAATCAAGTAAACAAGTACAGGTATCCCTCAATTTATGAATATTTGGTTTATGTTTTCTGCTATAATGTAATTAACTTTTGTGGGTAAGTTTTTTGAATTGCATTCCCATTTTTCACTATAAAGAAAATTTACACAGAAGTACAATGTTTCGACAAGGTTTTGTCATCACCTGATGATGACAAAATCTTGTCGAAACGTTGTACATTTGCTGTTATGTTATACTTATATTAAAGTTTTTTCTTCATTACCCATTCAAGCCGTCTCCAACCATTATGAATCAGTAAAGGTTTCTTAAGTTCACAGACAAACCTTTTAATAAGACTACTTTATTAACAAAATCTTTTTTTTTTTGGTGCAACAGACTTTACTAAAAGTTTGCAAAATTTCTTGAAGATACACTATGTATGATATGTATATTTGAATGGAAATGTTATAATAAAATGATAGCTTAAAATCTCTGAAGTTGTTTTCTCTTGAAAAAAAAAAGAGTTGGATGAGATTTGATTGATGTGTTTAAGATTGTCAATGAGTGCATACTGATGATCAAGATATTAACAACCACTTTATAGTATTGCCTGAACTAACTGCCTTTGGTCCAATCTGAGTCTAAATATGCACACCGGTTGGTTGAATTGAGAGAAGGAAGAAAACAAAATGGTGCAAAATTACTAACTTGTAGTGCAATTTCACCACTTCATTCCTGAAAAAACAAGAAGTGCTGAATCTGCCATAACAATCCTAGAAACAAAGTTCGATTTAATACTCAAAGAACATGAAAATAGTTCCAGACTTCCAAGAGTCCAGAACTGTTCTAGATTCAAGATCTATTTAGCACAGCCCTACGCATGAATAAAAATAGGAAAAAATACTAGGTGCCACAATGAAATTTTTAATCATCATGGAATTTGTCAAGGCCTGATCTAAATAAGATTTGAAGTCCAAGCTCTACTTACACACACACACACAAAACACCCCTATACACAGTATCAGAATCATAATTATTTAAAAATATAAATAATCATTGCACTAGATGGGTTGTGAAACCAAACATGGTACTTTTATTAGACATGACAAAATATGACACTACACAAACATGAGGAAGAAAGAAAGAAAAACTGGTAGCTACAAATTTCTCTTTGGTTTTGTTTCCTTTTCTTGCAGTCATTATATAATGTGTTTTTACGTACTCATTTTGGTTATAATAGCTTTGTTTTTGCTTTTAGGCAATTTTGGCTTAAATGTTTGAAATCCAAAATCTACCAAGAATTATATGCAATTTTCATTACATTTCTTAAAAGTAAATAATTAAATTTAACAAAGTACTGCATTTAGAGTGTTTAATTAAATGAACAAGTATTTTTTCCCCATTTTCTGCTATATGTTATTTTCTTATGATTTTATCTAAAGAAAATCCTAGTTCACAAGTATATAAACTTCCAACAAATTTAAACTACCAATCTTGGTATTTTAAGCCATTCAATTTTGTATTTTTATTTTGCATTATAATATAGAAATAGTTTAAAGTTACTGTGAGAAAAGAAAAATGAGGTGATATCAGTTCATATAATCTAAACACATTAACAAGGTAGATCATTTGCTTCTATTGTCTTAACTCTCTCAACACGGGCTTGGTCAATTTGACTGACTACGTGACCTCTTTGTAGTCATTTGAAAGTCTTTATAGCTTTAATACTTCTAATTTTCAATATAGTGTGTATATCTTCACAAAATTTGGCAGTCTTTCAATTAACATTACAAGTTTTCACATACAAAAAATCATTTTTTAGTGAAGTAGTTTTCATGTTAAGATCAAAAATACTTTTCTTCATCTCAAAAATCTCAAATTTCCTTTGTGTAATCACTAAAACCTCCTAAATACATTTCAAACGTATTTTTTCAGTAAAACTTTATATTTTATCTGTTATTCTCTCTCCCCTATCTCTATATAGGATCGGTCGATTTGACCAACCTTCTAACCACCAAAAAAAAAAATCAAAATATCTCTAAATTACCCTTTTTTCTTTGTAGAATGACTTCAAATTCTAACAGGAAACTACATTTGTTTATCCTAAGTAGTTTTAAGCTCGTAACAGTATACGTCTGCTTATAATTAAATTTTATTGCCCTTTGAACTGTGTCTAACTACTATTCCCACCATTATAAATTACAAATCACTCTGGGAATATGCAGTTCACATTACCCATGAGCTGCTCGCATGCGTATCTCATGAAACATTTTATTATATTATTATTATTTATTTGACCTAATTTAATCTTAACTAATCTAAAAAGATCGTTATTTTTACATTTTAAATATGCTTACAATAATAAAGAATAAACATGAAAAACAAGAAATAAAGTACTTACCAAATCTTTTTTTTCTTGCTGTTAATTGTCAATGACAGTTAACCCTACTTTTTTTTTTTTCATACTAATGGTAGTAATGCACTAAATATATGTTTTTATGTAATTAAATAATGCACCAAAGAACATAGACTAATAATACACAAAAAGTACACAATTTCCCCTAACTCTCAAAATTTTTCTGGCTTTATAACTATGCAACAAGAGCCGTTATAAATTCATCCAAGCTAGTTGTTAACTTTCCCATGGGAACAAAACTTGTATGCTTATCTATTCAGAACACAATGTTATACAATACGTCATTTGATTGATGAAAACCTTGACTTTCTATTGGTTATAAGTAATATAGAATTAAACGTAAAAGAGAACTATCAACAAATCCTGAAAGAGAGGATATGGCAGGAGGGATCTGATTTTGTATTTGATAGCTTTGTAACCAAACAAAATTGAAGGCTATAAAAATTATGATTTGTCTTAGCACTGAAGATTTTATAGAGAGTAATTTACATTTAATTTCATACATTATGGAGGGGTGGGGAATAAAATAGAGAGGAGAAGATACCTAGAGATAATGTGTCATGTGTGTCACACTAGGGGAAATTCAGGATTTTTTTAAATATTGCTTTATAGAATTAAGAACTTAAAACATATATACTATTAGAATATGGATTATTAGCTAAATAAAAATTTATGCTAAACTAATTGGTATAACATAAACAAAAAGTAGTTTAATAAAATTTTGAATGTAAGACACTAAAACTTTGTGTCATGTGCAGTAAAGGATACCTGTGCTGATAGGGTTAATCAGTTACAATCACTGTTTTAATATTAACTATTAAAAGGTATACCACATATACTCCAAAGTTAGTGAACTAACAAAAGTTTACCTAGTTGACACATGGCATATCGGTGTTCCTCATCAAAAGACAGCTTCATTAAAGCAGCAATAGCTGGCCCAGGATGTTGATTTGTTGTTTCTGAAAATAAGCATTAGATAACTTTCACAAATATCAAGTTTCTACAATTGCAACTCAAGACTTTTTTTTTAAAGTTTCTTATAATTACAAAATGTAAGTAATTTTCTTACATTTAAGAATTCTCAGCTGTCATTGTGTATGGGGAAATCTCAGGTTAATGATAAACACAGATATGAGAGTAGTATCTTTCTTTTATTTACATGCATTCTTGAATATCTCTGTGGTAGAGAACAGGCCTTGTTATCCAGGGTTCAAGTCCCAGTCCTGCAGTCACTTTTTGTTTGTAAGTTTTCACATAAAATATAGGAAAGTCATCTGGATTTTCTTCTCTACAGGTCATCAGAAACTAGATATGAAGAGCTACCTCACATATTCACTATCTCTGGTGTATATGCTGCTTTTCAGCTATCCAGAGTATCCAAAAGTTGAAAACAGAAGAATAGCCAAAACCAAATTTTTTATTTTTGATCATCATCATCATCATTCTTCAACAGACCTAGCACCCACCTAGTTGTAGCAGTAACTATAACTTTATAATCACTTGATAGAGCAAAAAAGTCTTCATGATCTTGGACTACCTATTTTATTAATATTCCATGCTAAACTTATAAAGCTTGAGAATACACTATAACCTAGTAATCCATGTACACCATCTTATTAAAGAAGTAAACAAACAAATGATCACATAGCAGAATAAGCTGTCTCAATTTTACATGGAGAATAAAATCCTTACATTACTGGCTTCCTCACTGGCAAAACAAATAGAACCAGAATTCCTAATTGTAAAATAGTAATAAAAGTAGTATTCTAAAATTAACTAAAGGAAAGGTATAGTGATGAAGCTGAGATTCTGTTCAAACACCAAACTTTCAACAGACAAAGTGTGGAAGTCAGTAACATTGGGATTTTATTTTCTATGTAAAGTTGAGGTGGCTTACTCTGCTATGTGATCATTAGCCAGATCAAGCGATATGTCCACTCCCATCCCCATCTTGTTTGGTTCCTTTTTTCAAGTTCAGTACAGCCCTACATAGCTTTTTTATTTATTGATAAATTTTAGTCCTAATAGTTGTTTGATATTAATTATTGTGATATAATAATATTACTATTTCACTGACACCTATATTTTGACTTTCAGCATAAACATTCATATTTAGCTTTTACTTAGATGATGGAACAATCAAGTTATTAACAATATTATTAGTCTGAACAGTTATTACACCTTGCTAAATAAAACTATCCTTCTTCTACCATAATTTGTTCTCCACACAATATATATAAAAAAATAATACTATTCTTTTAAGCTGCCAAAAGAAATATAAAATGGTTAAAAAAAAACATATCACACAGAATACAAGGAATGTGCATCACTGTTAACAATGTAAAACAAACCAAAAGTTTACATTTTCCTGACCTGAAAAGTATTTCAGATAGATACTCACCTCTCTACAAAACAAACAGCTATTACCTAATGCATTTGTCAAGAATAATTTTCCATATGTCACAAGATTTAAATAGAGCTTCCACCCCTACACATTATTAATGCGGACTGCATCAGCCTATGATGTAATAGTCATTAAACAATAGCTCTCCACAAAGAGGAAAGTGACGCATCCTCCATGCCCAGTAAATCCTATGAGCACTGGCATTGCAACAAAGGCTTATTCTTGATGAAGTAAAAGGAACACACCAGAAGTAAGGAGGAAGTATGAAAGGTTCTGTTTAGAGGTGAGTATCTACTAGAAATAAATATTCAGGTAAGGAAAATTTTAATTTCATTAACGCTACTAACTTCTCCACAGAACTAAGAGCTAGAATTACACATTGATAAACTGGTGGTGGTGATGTTGTATATAAATAAAGTACAAAGATGAGCTCCTTTATGAAATAATAAGTGTCAAAAAGAGGGATAGCCTATTAGGTCATCCCATGGTGGAAGAATTGCATCATATACTCTTTGCCCAATAAAGGTGGTAGCAAAAAACATACTATGAAAAGAGCCTTCTGTATGGTGCTAGTGTTGCATAGGTGGGTGGTATGGAAGACTGCTCAACCAGTCATTATATCATTGGGAAGTCAGCATAGCATATATGTGTAGTGTGGCAAGGGAAATAAGTCAGGCTGTACAATATTGTATAACTATCTATGTGAAATATTTACCTAAAAAAAGCAGGTCAAGGGAGGAATCGTTCCAGACTTGCATCCTGAAAAGAACACCCAGCTGGCATAAGCACTGGAAATGGTCTGGTTCTTAGTGTATAGGTGGCCTGTACTACACTTACAGGCAAACACCCCAGCCCTACTTCCCATCGAGGGGTGCATCCACCAATTAAATTACACTGACTCATAAGGGAACTTTCTATATCAAACTTCTCAGCAGTTTGGGACTAGGGAGGCAAGGGTTCTCTCATTACTACACTAGAAGAAAAGGGGTGCATCCACCAATTAAATTACACTGACTCATAAGGGAACTTTCTATATCAAACTTCTCAGCAGTTTGGGACTAGGGAGGCAAGGGTTCTCTCATTACTACACTAGAAGAAAAGGGGTGCATCCACCAATTAAATTACACTGACTCATAAGGGAACTTTCTATATCAAACTTCTCCGCAGTTTGTGACTAGGGAGGCAAGGGTTCTCTCATTACTACACTAGAAGAAAAGGGGTGCATCCACCAATTAAATTACACTGACTCATAAGGGAACGTTCTATAGCAAACTTCTCAGCAGTGTGGGACTAGGGAGGCAAGGGTTCTCTCATTACTACACTAGAAGAAAAGCAGTAAAAGTAGG